ACTTTTATTACAATAATTTATTCACTTTTAGAACAGTATTGAAATCATACTATTAATCAATTTGCTTTTATGAATTCTTACATATAATAAGAAAACCTTGTAAAGGTTAAAAAATACTTACACTTTGATAAAGTAAGGATATAGTTGATAAAAGGAAATAATAGAAGAATAATTAAGGGCAGATAATTAAAAAATAAAGGAATAAGATTAATTTTTCTTGGATATTTATTTATATGAATTATTCAAATAGAGAATTAATAAAGCTAAATAAAAATGGATAAAGAAAGGTATTGAAATAATTTTTGACATTATTTTTTGCTGGAACAGATACAATAGCAATAATGAGTAATCTATCTTGTTTATTTGGCAAAATATTCTGAAATTCAAAATGAAATATTCAAATAGGATTTTAAACAAAATGAAGATGTATATAAGCTATTCATTTTTCTAAATTAATAAAATCGAATGCTTTCATATTAAGAAACCCTGCTTTTTCACCATTAGTTAGAGTATTAAAAAAAAGAAATCTAATTCTTGGATGGAACACCTACAATTATTAAAAGGTTGAGTGAAATGTACCTTAGTCTAAATACATGATATTCCTAATGGTTTTTTTCATATTCCATTTGATGCCGAAGAAAGAAATTACATAGGTTAATATACGGCATTAATGGAGCTAAAAATAAATCTATCTTAACCCATTAGTTTAACTTAAGTTTGGCGTCAGATTTCTCTACACCATACTGTACAGAACCAGAAATTTGTTTGATCTATTGATAAAGAATATGAAAATTAAATAGTAAATAGTAAAATTCATAAATTTGTTTGATTTATATTTCAAACAATCTTAAGATTTCTAATTAATATTCTAAATATTTGATTTCCAAGTTTTGATGCACACAATTTTCATGTTCTAAAAAATCAATACTGTCTTCTTGGTAAATATTTGAACTTATGACTAGAATAGGTATATTAGAATAAGAAAAAGTTTTGTGGGTTGAGATTTATGTCTTTAGAATCAATTACATGATTCAATTTTACATTTATTATTATCATAATCAATATGCATAATGACTAGAATCTATTTATTCAACTTTAATACTCTTTGATGTACTTTTATGGTGGATTCTTAAAATATTAAAATTTTTCATAAATATGAAAACTCATTAAAAATATACGCTTTATCATATACTTCCTTCATATCCTTTCTATTTTGATAGACAATATAATCTTAGCGCATTATTAACCAGGGAATAATGTTGTGTATATGATCATTTTTTTTAATTTTTTGTACCTAATTCTAATTTAGCACTTTCTTCAGCATAAAACAAAAACATTTTTCTAAATAAGTCCTTGTTGATTGCATCTATCATTATTTATTTTGCAGTCTTAATGAGAAGATAATGAACATTTATTTATTATAATTTCAAAGTATTTTATTAAATATACAAAATTAGATATAAATTCACAATATAATAAATATATTGAATGGGTTTGAATTATTTATAAAAGAAAAATGGGCAACCAGTTTGAAATCGAGAAATTGTTTGGAAAAGAGAAAAATTTGAGCAGATATTATTAAAAGAGAATAAGAAAGAACAAAAAAATTAGCAGAAGAAAAAAAAATGAAAAGTTGAAAAGAATTTAAATAGACACTGGATTAATTCCAAAAAATTATTTAGATAGAATCAGCAGATGAATCTATGAAATAAATTGATCCAAAAAATGATGTAAAATTTCTATATCTAGATATTGTGGAAAAATACTTAAATGAATCATTTTAATTATTTATATAAAAAAGATTTAAATTAAATTAATTTTAACTCCTTATACATGATATACAAAAATAAGATAATTGTTAAGATTTATTAATAAATTATATAAATAGGCTGACTATTTTTACTATTAATTTATTTATGGAAAATTTATATTTGATAAACTATTCATAGATTATTTAAATATTTATTTAAGAGCGAAAGTCGTGAGATTTTAGATGATCTTGCAAATAAAAGATTAGAAACCTATAAATAATTTGAAAAAGTTATGTATAAAAAAATAAACTACTAAATAAATATTTTAAAAATGATTATAATTATAAAATATTTGTTAAAAATTATTGAATATTTAAAAGCTTAACCAAATAATTATTTGATAAATGGTTCTTATATACTTTGAAAATCCAAATCAAAATTATTAATATTAAACAATATTTTAGAACTTAATCAATAGTCATTAATATTATTATGATCTAATAAAGTAGGAAACCCTTAAGTAATTTAGTAAAAGCATATAAATTTAAATTAGATCATAGATTTTATAAAACCAAAAATTAAGAACTAGCTTAATTGGCTGAAAATCAATATGAAACTGTTAAAAAAAATAAAATGATCTCATCAAATTTAAGAGATGCCAAAAACGGTGGAATATTATGTAAAGGTGAATTAAATAAACTCACGATAAATAATTGTATTTATATAATTAAGAATACTATATTTAAAGATTAAGAAATAGAAAATTTTGATGAATGGGCTTATGATAATCTATTTAAGGTTGTTGAAGCATAAAAAGAAGAATAATCAAATAATTGATTTTAATTACTCATAAATTACTTTATAATCATTTATAATCTTTGAATTATCAAATATAAATCAATACTAAAGGAATTTTAATTAATCAATAATTCTTCTTGGAGTAGAGATATGATATTAGAATCTCTACCTCAATTCAGCTTCTTATTATGAAAAAACAAGAATAGCTGAACAAAATGAAAATTGATTTAATTATTAAAACATTTCAAAACATTATAAAGCTAATTCTCTAGTTTGTAATATAATCAAGGATTTAGAATATCTTTGACTGTTAGAATTTCCAAATCTTCTCATTAATAGTAATAAAAATGCAGCAGTATTTTCAGATCCTGTACAAGAACTAGTTAAAACATCTTTTCCTGTTAATACTAATGATATAATTCATGCTTAAATTAGTAGAATATTTATATCCTTATTCATAACTAACTTTTACCAATGATTTATTTAATTTCAATTATTGAAAAACATAGGATCATATTATAATTTTTTGTTGTCTTATTAATCTTCATCTTTTTATGCAAATTATTTCTAATTCTTTATAGTCCTCGAATTTAATTTGGCTGATTTGATTTAAAGTAGATTATTATATTTTTTTTTTTAAACTTTTGGAAGGATTCAATAATTCAACTTAGAAATCAAAATCTTTATATCACTAAATTAGTTCTTCAAAATCTGATTGCATTTTTAAGCTACTCATAATATTTACTTTTTTTAAAATATGGTAAAGTTAATTATTAATCACGTATTGAAAATGTATAAATTAGTTTGTTGTTTACTTAATAGTAAATCTTTATTGAATTAACAATTACAATAATTTTCATAAATAGATATCCAGAATTAATAATTTAAAATGAATTGATTCATTAAATTACATATTTAATCAAGGTATCTGTTGAAAATTAAGTGAAAATTAATCAAAATTTAGAAAAAGAGAAGATTCAAAAATAATAATTGGAAACATAATGAAAAGTAAAGATAAATAGTTATAATCTCAAAATTTAGAGATTCAATTACTTAAGCAAACTTAAAGGTTAACAATAATAATAAATTATTCTAACATCTTGCTAATTAATACTAAAACCATTCACTTATAAATAAAAACAGAATAATTCAAATAACTAAGTTAGTACATGTTATTCAATAGCTATTAACAAAGATTGTTCAATTGTAATTGTTGGATGTAATAATGAAATTAAAGAATTTGATTTGAAATAAGTAGGTTGAAACAAACATAAATTCTAAGTGAACAGTAAGGTAATGTAAAAACTTTAAACTTTATGAAGAAATCTAATCATTTTATATCTGGTAGTGATGATAAATCAATTATAAGATGGATTATTAATCAATGCATTTAATGGATTTGCTAATCCAAATTAAATGGACATACTGGTTAAATAAGATGTTTAATAATAATGAAGATTTGATTATTTCAGGTAGTTATGATTAAAATATTAAATTTTGGAGTAAATAGAATCAATGATTATGCTAGTAAACTATCTCAGATCATTCTAATGTTGTATATGGATTAAGTTTAAATTAACAATAGAATCAAGTGATTTCATGTGGATGGGATGCATAAATATTAATAATAGAGCAATCAAAATAGGATTTTAAATGGATTATAATCTTAAAGATAAAGGCTTAACAATCAGGTTTTTCACTTTTTAATCATATAGGATTGAATAAATGCATAATTATGAAATGAATAATACTAATAAATAGTTTAAAAGACAAAAGATATTTAAGGGTGGAGGAAAAGATTAAATTTTATTTCCTTAATAGCATATAAAATCAAAAATGCCTGCTTGTAAATAAGAACGGCAAGAAAAATTTTTATTAAGAAATTGTAGTAATTATTAGAAAAAAATGAAAAAGAATTGGAATTGTATAAATCAGGTAAGAAGAGTGCCAAAACATCTTTCTCTAAGAAGAATAATTAAATGAAATATTAAATGGTGTATATCCAAAAAACAAAGAAAATATACCTGAAATTTAAGAGCCATTGTTACTATCATTTATTAAAGATCTAGATCAAAAGAATAATGAAGCTATTAAAAATCTATCAAAGAATAATAGTTTGAATGGAGATATTGAAAATGAGAAAAACACTCTAATCTAAAATTCATGAAGTAACAACTCATCTCATTAGAAAGAATCTTTTAAGCTTATGTATGAGAAAAAAAAGAGATTCTCAAATATTCTGCTTAAATCAGTGAGAATAATCAAGATCTATGAAAAAGGCTCTTAGAAATTAATTTAACCTGCCAAAAGTAAATAACAAAATTTAGATAAGCTTTATCCGAATTAGAAACTAATATTAAATGTTATTATTAATATTTAAATAAGATTGGTCATCGTTTAGCGTAAAATTTTAAGATGCTTATTAATTTCAAGGAGTTATT